ACTGTAAAGTGCCTTGAGATGACATGTGTTGTGAATTGGCGGAATAGAAATAAACTGAATTGAATTGAACCTTTGTCAGTCCAGAGTTAACTAGACAATTCCATTAAGTAAATGGCTTTACAGCAATTCCTCCTCCTCAACAGGAATATCAAACAATAAACAGTTAATTTCATCAAGTCATTTGATTTTATGTTTCATTTCCACTTATTAACATAGAATAACCTAAAAAGTTTGCAATGCATTAACATTTGTTCTGTAATTATTGTTTGAAATTATCTACAGATATTTAGAAATTACTTCATTTTCAATAAATCAGAAACTGCAACCAATTAAGTGTTTTGCTTTGCATAAATACAGTTGATATAGAAATAAAAAATTATGTTATTTAATATTATTTCATTAATAAGTAGCTACTAGTCTATTAATTCATAGAACTCAGCAACCAGTTTGACCCAATCACCCCGACACAAAACTATAAAGAACTTTTTGAGTTGCTTGGCAGATTTTTTAATGATAAATAATGAGTCATTCTGCCTCTAAATGCAGATTTTCCATTCTCCTGATTTTTTGCAGTGATCTTGCAGACAGTGTCTTATTTTAAGTTAAATATTTAAAACTATTGACAAAACGTTTCGGCATATTTTTGTAAATAGAAAATATACATACTAAGATATACATTTATTGGACTAAGTGGTTCTGCTGGAGGTTTAAATCAAACTGCAAACTACAGAAATTAACCTAAAACTTTGATTTAAATCATCCCTCCTAGGAATTGATTGAAAAATGCAGCTTTTCCACCTGCAAACATGATTAGTTGATTGATGATTTAAAGCAGAGGTCTTCAACAGGTGGTCCGCGACCCGTAGGGGGTTCACAGAGGTACTGCATGGGGGTCTCGAAAGTTTTAGTTGATTAGACTTGTTTATATTTATATAAATATTCTTTCCTGCAATTTTTTAACTAATTGAAATGTCTTTAAGTACACATTAAAATGAGTTCAACACACTGTAGTAAACAGATCAATGGAGGCAGAAGATGTCTTTCAGTCATCAATGCTCACATTCAGCGAAACACAGGAGCTCTTTCAAGCTGGGCACCGTTTCATTCACAAC